AGGCTTATCATCTATGAAAAACCATCACCACTGTTACAAACGGGATGGTGCCACATTACTTAGATGTAGAAAACATTAATGAGCCACTTGTCACAACACCAGTTCTAAAAGCATTCCAACTGAAACACAAATAGGGCAAGTATGAAACTTCAAAACAAAAATCAGCACGTGGGCTGTATGATATGAATACCTTCCAAATTGCAAATTACTGTTTCTTCATTACTGAGCTACTGTTATAACTTCAAATCCTTTAAAGAAGGAAAATAGTAATAACCCTACTCAGGAAAAAATAAAAAGGCAGACAAATATTTTACTATTTACTACTACATCCACTCCATACTGCAACTCCTCATTTTAGCTACCTTCCTTCCACAACCACCATCCACATATCTCCTACTTCAGTACACAGACTGAAAGGAATGAATCTCATTTTGATGTTATAGGTCAGATAGTTTTCAGAATTTAGTCTGCAGGCCTTTGTATTCCAACTTATGCTGATCCATTAATTGTTCTGGATAATCAATGATATCAATAATTCTGGAAAAGGAATGCTAACACTTGTATGAAAATCACATAGCAGAAATCTGAAATGTGAAACTATCAGCATTTCATAAAGTTTCAGGAGGTCTTTTCAAAGATGAAATATGCCCAGCTTTGTGGCTGAACTCTGAGAAAGATAAATGAGGGTATTTGAAAATGGCTTGCTAAATCACCCCTGTATTTTGCTTTCTGCTGTCTATTTATGTTGGACTGTGTGGTCCACTCGCCTTGAATTAATGCTGTAATCAAGAGTCTCTGAACACTTGCTCTAACCTGTTTGCACTGCTCTGAATCATTAAAGGCCAGGAAAATTGCTTTCTGACAGCAGCTGAAAATGTCTCATTTGTTGAAACCTCAGCTAGTACAGGGCTAGCCCTGGTCACTGTGCAGCCCTCCTTTATGTCCCTTCTTGCTCCCTGCAGATGCTGTGAAGACTGATGTGAAAGGAGACAGGGGACAGCTTCATTTGCAAATATGAAGATAATGAAAGTAATCATGACAGTCACAAACAGAAATGCTACTTAACCAAAGAAATTCAAGGTTTAATGGAGTCTTTTGATCCATTAGCTACCAGAAGCTTTTTTTTTTTTTTTTTTTTTTCCTACCAGCCAACTGTTTTGTAATTGGAAGTTAAAAGATAGTAACAACAGCTGTATCAGGAAACAAAAGCTTCATTCAATCTGATACCTGAATTTCTTGACCTGGGCCAACTCCAAAGAAACAAATGTAAGAAAAGCTCAAGTAAGCCTAGCTAACTTAGCTAAGATTGTACTGAGTGCATTTTTGTTTGGTGAAATTCATTATGAAGTAATTTATGCCTTCTATAGCTAAAAACCCATGCCAGTCTTTCTGTCACAAAGTGAATTTTCCAACTATCTTGAAGGTTAAAGTACATTACTGAAAAACTTAGTTTTATTGTAGAAATATTTTTCTCAGTTTACATATATCTCATTTGAATTTAATGGAGGGCTCCTTGCATTTAGAAAGACAGAATCAAGCAAATATGAAATATAAAGTGATCTTGCCATTTATTTTTTATATGCAGTTATAATGCACTATTGAATAAAGAGAATGCTTTCATATTGCCAGATTGCCTAGCTTTGTTTAAATTAGTGAATAATTCCAACAGCTTCAGTGTTGTCAAATGAAAAGAATGTGCTAAAGCAGTGCTGCTGAAATGGACAGGTAAATATTTAATATACTCCACGCTATTCTAATGTTAATTGTTTATCAGTTACCTTAATAAGCTTAATGAAATCTCTGCAAGCTTGTTATCAAACAATTTAATGTTTTAAAATGTGACTTTCTGGTATAAATCTGATAGCTCTAAGCAGCCTATATTATTTTTCATAGTTTTCATTTAATTCTGACTTCTCTTCAAGTGTGTGATCTTATTTAATTCAAAATGGCTGCCACCTCCAGCTGGCACCAGTGAGGCTGAGTTCTGCCAAATCCCAAGTGGTAGCAGTCCTCATCCTACGCTTCATATTGGAAAAAGGGAGTCCTCCTCAGGGAGTTCCCTCCAGGCTCAAATGCAGCTCCCATCGGGTGAAGGCGAGAGAGGACCAAATGATTCAGCACAACCATCAGAGAGACAGAACAATGAGGACTCCATTTAGGAATGGTATGGAAAACAACAATGTAAAAATAATAACAAAAAAAAAGCTGCAAGAGCCAGTCTGAGGTTTAAGATACAAACTGTCACTGTAATAAAAAGTAGAAAGAAAAGGAACAGTAAAGGGGGATAGGGAGAGTGAATTGAAGGAGACTGTTGGGGAGAATAAAGAAAGCATTTGAATGGGGCAGCTGCATATCCAGTCCTGGTAGAGGGAAGAGATGAGGATGGAATGACAACTTTTGCTCTGTCGGGGAGTAAGGAGAGTTCTTTCAAACTTAGAAACTGTTGGTTATTTATGTATTTTAATATCACATTTTCTTTCTGAGAGGACAAATTGAGATTCCATACCTAAAGCTGCCCAACAGAGTCTTGAAGATTGAAAAAGACACAAATCAGTTTTTAGATTTGGGGATTTTTAAGCTATTCATAGGATGTTATGAGGTCTGTCATGTTTTTCTATACTGCATATTTACAAGGAAATATGATGTACACACCTGCCAAGTGTTTACCACGTGAGCCAATACACGTCTCAACCGCTTTTGTCATCCCTCCCTCCCTGGCAGGGGGCAAAGAAGCCTTCTTTGTGAGAGACTGTTCTCAAGCTTCATATAGTAGCCAGGTGATGATGGATTCCAGTCACATTTCTTTGGGTAACTATTGCCCAAAGTCATTACTGCTGATCACAACCTCATAGCCTTATCCTAAATGGCAGGCAACTAGCTTATCCTCCCTGCCCCAAAACCAAAACACAGAAGCTGTACAAATCCCAGAAATAAAATAGACTTCCTTCCTTTTATTTGTAAGGTTTCAGAATAAATACACAAAACCCAAGCATTTGTCTGGCCTATCTGATCAGTACTTTGGCCAATAGACAACGCATTTGTTCCAGATGAAGTCCAGGAATCACAGACTCTGGTAACGAGTACTGCTCTAATATTTCACAAGCAGCTGTAATTGGGAAAGTGGGTATTAGGTTCTCTTCCAGGAAGCCACGCCTACAGGGTTTACTCAGCCTACTGTACGCACAAGACTTCCCAGTACTGCAAGTAAAATTGAATTTTACTGTCCTAAGACAAAGTTAAAAATAAATTTTCTTGGACAGGATGTCAGCACACTGCCCTCTTCCTACTTGCTTCTGTAGATACTTTCTGTAGGAAAAAATTACCAAAATGTATCTGCTTTGGCACTCCTGCTGATGATAGCTTTGGTAATCAGAAAACAGACAACACTGTCCTTATTCTACGTATAGAATACAGCTTGTAAGTCTAAGTCCAGATAATAAAAGAAAAATGGAAAATAAAATCTGAGAAAAATAATATCAAGCACAAAGCAATAGCAAAAACAGAACAATGTACATAAATTTAGGTCCAACTGCACAACCATGTTTGTTCTGTAATCTGACAGCAGTGCAGCCCTCCACTTTTTTTTTTTTTTTAAACACATATTTTACAGGATTTTTCTCCCATCAAAGACTCAAAACCAGACTGATTTCCCCTTAGCTATGACAGCAGGGTCAAAGGATGAAGTACATTCACTGCAGGCTCCTTCTTGTCCTACCTGATCTCTGCAGCTGCACAGAGCTACCAGGCAAATTCTGCTCATCTCAAGCAAGAACTGATGTGTGCTGAAGAGGGTGCACAGGTGTGGAGCTGGCCCAGAAAGCCACCACCTTGTACAGCAAATGAAGCATAACACAGCAAGATACAACCGACACAAGATTTTGAGGACTGGCTACACACAGCAGTTATTAGATATGTATACACACACCCATCAAAACTCGAGAAGAAAGACCTAAATCTGATCTTTACCCACCAACCTTCCTAAGAATTGGAACTGCAGTAAGCGTTTCTGCAAACAACACCTCTGCCCTTTGCGTGGAAAGCACAACATGCAGAACTTCTCCACACGTGCCAATACGTGCACATCTGGGCTGAGGAAAGAGCAGGAGAGGGCCCCAGGGGGACAAGAAGCAGCAACCCTCAGGTGCTGTCTGTCCCTTTGTTCTATAAAGGCTTTTCGGACTCAGAACTTCCAGCTTCTTAGTAGCTGCGCTACTGCATATCGACTTCAGAACATAGAATGGATTTTCAAAGCCCTTAAGGACTTACACTCCACGGTTACGAGCAGCAGTGGAAGCGCTGCACTACCACCAGCCGCCCCACAGCTCGCTCAGGGTGCCAACGGCCGCCACAAGCACACAACGCGATCGCAGCCCTTCCCCAGCACCGCGCGAGCCCTCTCTCCCCCGGGCAGAGGCTGCACCTGCCGGCCGGGTGGCGGCAGCTCCTTCCCAGCTCCTCTCCCGCAGCAGCGGCGCCGCGCGGTACCCTCAGCCGCCGCCGTGAGGGAGGGGCTGCGGTGCGCGACGGCCGCTCCGCGCGAGGGAGAGCGGAGGCGCAAGGGCCCTTCCCGCCGCCCTCCGCTCGGTGACCCTGTGCCGGAGCGGCGGGCGCGGTGCCGGGCACGGCGCTGACCGTCCCCCGTCGGAGCCCTCTACGCGAGCGCGGCTCCTACCTGCCCCGCGCGCGGTGCCGGGCAGCGGTTAGGCGGCAGAGGCGAAAAGCGGCATAGAAAGGGAGATGGACAGGGGGATGCGGCGCCCCGCGGGACCTTTAAGCCCCCGGAGGCGGTGGGACTACACTTCCCGGCGTGCCCGGCCGTCTCGACTGCCTGCTGGGCGCAGGCGCGCTGGGAAGAGGGCGGGGACGGGCGTCGCGGTTGCGCTCGGCCTTTACCTCACAGAGGCACCGCCGCCTTTCATCTCGGCGCCGCGGCGGCTCTGGGCCGCGCCGTGCGTGCGTAGCACCCTCCGCGCGCCGCGTCCCGCCCGCCGAGGGAGGCGCGTGGCGGGGGGTGGCTCCGCTGCACGGCCCCGCTTTCTCCCGGCGTGACGCGCGGCTTCCCCCGCGCTGGGCCCCTTTGTCAGGCCGCGGGCCCTCGGCTGTTGCAGCCATGTCGGAGCAGACGGGCCTGGCGTTGCCGCAGACCATGGACAGGTACGGGAGGACCGGCTCCGGGAGGCTCGGGCCGGCCGGGGGCGGTTGCGTATGTGTGGGTTCTCCGTGGCTTTTGGTGCTCGGGTGGTGCGGGCCGCGTTAAGCTCGGCCGTGGCGGGGCTGGAGCGGGCTGCGGGGAGAGCGGCGCGGTGCAGGGGGCTGCCCGCTTCCTGACGCTGCGGGAGGTAACGCGGCGTCGGGAGCGTTCGTCGAAGCGTTGAAAGGCGACGATTGTTTAGCTGGGCCTTGTGGGCTTTGTTGCTACCTTTGTCTGTTTTGGAGGAGCGTGTAGTTTCTTTTTTGAGTTGCTAAGAAGTCCGACCTGCAAACTCCTCTGACTTAATTCTAAGGGAGAAAAGGCATTCGCTCTTATTACGTTTGCTTCCTCTGATTACGTGTGTTTGCACACCAAGCACTTTCACCCTGTTCTGCTGAGAATTTGAGGTTCCCACTGTGGGGCATTGAGTCATCCAGGAAGCTCTTGAGAGCTGCACGTATAGGCGACACAACAGTACAGTGCTTCTGAAGGTGGGAGCCCATAAGGAATCTATCCTCTACTGATAAACCCATCACGCTTTTCATCACAGACATCCGGGGAAAAGGGAGAAAGACCTCACTGAACTCTGATGTTGTGATTTATTTATTTTCTTATTTATTTACTTATTTTACTTCTGTAAGGAAAGAGGATTTTAGTAAAATAGAGGCTGTCATGAGGCAGGTGATGGAGGGACAAACTGGGAGGCAAGGATAGAGCTTGCTCTGCCTTGAAGGTGAGGATAAGGAACTTCAGTCCGATAAAAAAAAAAACAAACAAACAAAAAAAAAGAACTATAAATGATTTGCTGGGGGGGACAGAGGAAGAGGAAAAGCTTATTGTTGATGTTTTAGAAATCTGGGAAGTGTTGTTAAAGAGGCTGAGAGTCAGGAACTGGAAACATTTTTGCAAGAAGTAACAGAAAGGAGATAGGCTGGTTATTGTTTTTGTGTGTTTTTGTTTGCTTTTTTTTTTAGAAGCGCTGTAAGGGAGGTATTCTATTTTACTTCCTGTGAATATCAAGTATAAAAAGGAAGACGGTTAAGGATGACAAATGAGCAGGAGGAGGATGGTTGTGTAGAAAGGAAGAAGAACGAGGAAGATCAGGAAGAATGTTGCACACCTGAAACTAAATTTCATCTTCATCCTGGAATTCATAGTCTGATGATATGTAGTATTTCGTTATTTTGGATGTATAACAAATCATTATGTTCTGAATGGCTGCCCTGCTGTCTGTGGCAATTTTAACATAACATGAGGCCCTAATTCAGTGGGAAGTGTCTGAGGTGGTATTTATCTGTGTGGCAAACAGTAAATTGATGTAATTAGATGACTCTGCCTAATAAAACTGAAGCTTTTCTTTTGTGCTCATATCAGCATTTGGGACTGTGATACGCAAGAATCTAGAATCCTTTGTGATGTCTTTGCAGGTTTTTTTCTTTCAAGCTTAGATTTTTTTTTAAATGTCTTTTTTTTTTTTTTTTTCCCTTTAGGGTCTTCCCAGTATTAGCAAAGCTTACTGTTCATGAAAAACTGTCAAAACCAAATGGCATGTAGAAAAGTAAGGAAAGGTTTAGGTGAGCGTTTACTAAAAAGGAAGTTGGTTAATTAGCAGCCAAACCAGTTCACCGTTCTTCAATTGGATGTGGATATCTGCAGTTTGATGCACGTTTCATGTTCTTGTGAACTACAGTTTCACAAAGCTGAAAGGACGTATCTCTGGCCCTTTCCAAATACTTCCCAGTAAATTTGGAATAACAGTTGATAATCTGAAATAATTGGAAGGCGTTCATGGCTTGCTTAACAACAAGGACAATAGGGAGAAAGTTTGAAGTACTTAGGAAGCATAAAGGAAGGAATGAAGAAAGACCACAGCTTCCATGCAAGCTTGTTGCACTCAGTATAGGAAGCTTTAGAAACAGCGCTGTGGGAAACAATGGATGGGAGTGGTAAGAAGGTGCCGAGTATACAGGACTTGTATTTAACTCAGAACTCGGTACAGTACAAGTAGAAGGATCTTGGAGTAAACAAGACCTCAAAATGCAGTCAGGGTGAGTAAGTTTTCTATTATATACTGGTGTTATGGAGTGTGGTTATGTTACAAGAAACTTTCTTGTTCCTTCGTCTGGTGTTTCTCAAGATCATGCATAACTGCTTTTATGTTGTATGTAGTGATAATCAAGAAAAACATTTCAGTATTTCACATCAGAGGACATAACCTGTGAATGACTCCTTTGTAGGGATTCTGAAGGGCAGAAGTTCCTTTTCTTTCATGCTGTTATTGTTGATGCTAATGACAGTTATTGCGCTGGGTAGCAGTAACAAGTGCATACAGAAAAGCTTATGAGTTAATGTATTGTCATTGCACACAGAGCACATACTCTTAAATCAAATTGAAATCTTGTAGTGAAGGATGCAGAAAATAGCTTTTCAGTGAATAAGGCTTTCTTTGGTGTCTAACACTTCTCAGTGAGAGACTTTTTTTTTTTCTTTTTTGTCCTGATACCTAGGTGGTATCACTGAGAATTCGCAGAGAATGGGAAGTACTGTTGTCTCAGGAATAAGTTATTGCTGTAGATCTGAATGTATGCACTACTTTGTATGCAAGGGTGATAGCTCTTAAATCAAGTTCTTCAATATGTATTTGTGAGAGATAACATCTGGCTTTCTTTACTTGGCTCCTAGGTTATACATCTGTGTGGCATTCTTCTTGTGCATTCTTGGTATTTTTCCTGCATAATTTTAGTCTGAACCACATTTCTAAGAAATGATACCTTTCTAATAAAAAGCTGTCACAGTGTAATTACTTGAAATTTCTAGCTAAGGACTTTATAATTAGCTGAAGTGAAGGGTTGCTACACCATGAATGCAAGAGGAAATAACACAGAAATACTGTACTCAGAGTGGTATGAGGGTCTTGAACATTTACAATGGAAGTATTGTACTTGGTATGCCAGTGTTGCAAACTGAGTCCTTTTTGTCTTTTTAAATATCACTTTTAAAATAGGCTAAAGAAGAAGGAAGGTTTTTTTTTCTTCTTCTTTCAGTTAGGCACTGTGAACTTCCTGTCTTGGCACTGTTTAACGGTAGTTCTTCCAACTGAACACTTGTAAATGTTGCCTTGTTTATCCCTTGTTAGGTGTTCTGGCTGCTTTGTGCATGCTTCAGACTCTTTTGTTCTTCCTAGCTAATGTTAGAAGATAAGCAGTTGAACTTTGTCAGATTTTGGTTTGATTGGACTAGGTTTGATTAGTAACTTTATCTTTTAAGCACGTAGGTCACTCTGAAAGCAATGCTTCCTATTTATTTTCATGGAAAATATAACACGTGCAGAATAACACTATTTCACACAATAGCACAATAGCACTATTTCATAGACCAAATTGTCAACTGCAAAATGCTATTTTTCAAGACCACTTCTTCCTCCTGTATACAAGGACTGCTCTGAAAGTTATGCTTCCTTGTTTTATCAGCAAAGATAAATGAAAACTGATTGCAGACCTTTAGAAGGTCTTTTGCCCATCTGTGTAAAAGCATCAGGATGTTAAGCTGTTTTAACCTTGAGACTTCTGTCTTATGTGTGTAGCATTTCCATATTGACATCTGCTTTGATAGGCTTATATACAAACTTGAATATTTTAAACTTAATGGCTTAACAGCTTATTTCTACCTGCAGACAGTAGGAAATTAGCTCTCTGATTTTAGGGTTAGGAAACTCCCAAGATGCTGTTTATCATCTTTGGTACTGAAAGTCTTGGTACCTCATATATATTTCCAGGGTGTTCAAACAGTATTCATCTACTGCATCTAAGAAGCTGAATGTAAGATCTTATTGATAGCTTCTTAGATCTCTGTAATAGTGCTTAGCTGTGATTGTTTCCCTTGGTGTGGTGGCTTGCAGTGCTTGTTGAAGTGAAAACTTGTGTCAACTAATACAAATATACCAAGTAACTATTTTAATATGTATAATTTCAGGGGAAAAAAACCAACTCTACAAGATTAAAGTACTACTTTCAGAAGGTTTTGAAAAGAAAACTTTGAGTGGCAGTGAATATATCAAACGTTCATTGGTGCTTTGCTGTAGAGAGGATAGGGAGTCCTATGCATGAAAATGTGAAATAGTCCTTGTCTTTTAAAGCTGTAGTGTTTTTAGTTGCTTTCTGCTCTCCCCTCATTTGTTTTTCCTGTTAACAAAAGCTTCCACTTGGCACCTGAATACTTTGTTTAAAAGTCAGCATTTTATGTTGGATTGAAACGTGTCAGCGTAAGGTAGCCTTCTGTGAAGGATGCTATTAGGAAGGCCATGTGCTGAGTGCTTATGATTGTTCTGCTGGTGAGTCATGCAGTCAGCCTGAGAGTGCTGGGGAGAGTTACTTAATGTTATGTTCAGACACCTTGAAGTCTGGTTTGCATTTAGTAAATATTCTTCCAGATTTTCAATACCAATGCCAAATATGAGTAGCTGTTCCTAAAGCCATTGCCTCCCAGCCATCTCTCTTCTTGGGGTTTAAAATCCATACTGAATTGAGATTATTTTTTTTTGGTGACTTCAAAGTTTCATTCTTCAATTTTCATTATGAATATTAGGAAGATAAAAGATGACTGTCTCTTCTAGGACTTTTCGTTTGCTCTCTCACATACTGTAAATTCTATAATAAAAGTAGAAGTTATAAACTGAAAATGTAACTTGAGTAATAGCATCTGTTATATAAGCTATTGAATTCAAAGCCATTTGCTTGAAGATTTCCTGCCAATTTTTGCAGCTTTGGGACCCCACTTTCTATTTTATTTCTGCTTTGTTTGGTAGAACATAATAGAAAAAACTGCTTTAATCATGGAACTAAGAATGGAATGTGGACAGCCATAAGCTCGGTTTTTAACTGATAAAGGTAGTGCTAATATGTTTACTTTTAACTGTACTGTATCCAAAGATTGTTTCATTCTTACATTAGCTGTGTGATGATGG